TTTGGGTAGTACCACATAGTTTCTATTTGTATAGCTTTCTTATAAGTTTGAAAATCTGGAAATGTGAGTCTTATAACTTTTTCTCCCCCAAGACTTTTTGGCTATTTATAGCCCCTGCAATTCCATATGAATTTGAGGATTTAATTTTCCATTTCTGCAAAAGGGAATCTTGGAATTTTGATAGGGATTATGTTGAATCTGTATAGCATTCTGGTGTTGACATTTTAATATTCTATCCCTCTCCATGAACATAGTATGCCCCTTCATATATTTAGATCTTAATTTCTTGCCGCAATTTTTTGGTAATTTTTGGTATACACCTTCTTGGTGAAATTTATTCCCAGGAATTTTCTTCTTTTAGATTTTATTATAAATAGAATTGCTTTATTAATTTTCTTTTTAAATTATTCATCATTAGTGTATAGAAGCACAATAGATTTTTGTGTGTTGATTTTTACCTTGCAACTACTGAATTTATGATCTCTAACAGTGCTTTTTTTTTCTTTTTTGCAGATTCCTCTTGGATTATCTAAATGTAGGATTATCTCATCTGCAAAAAGAGATAGGTTTGCATTTTCATTTCCAATTTTGATGTTTTTTATTTCCTTTTCTTGTCTAATTGCTCTGGCTGGAACTAGTACAATCTCAAGTAGAAGTGATAAATGCAGACATCTGTCATTTGTGTCACATTCCCAATCTTGGGGAAAAGATTGAAGACTTTCATCATTGACTATGATGTTAGCTGTGGGTTTTTCATAAATGCCCTTTATCATGTTGAGAACTTAAGGAATGTGAGCTTAAAATGCTATTCATAGAAAATAAGCTGAGACCTAGGATGATGTTATTTTTCTCCAGAAAGGATTTTTATTGCTTTTGTCAATTCCTAACAGTTTAAGTAATGCAGGATTACCTTGACCCAAATTTGGGGTTGAGATTTCTGGGAGCTTTTGACAAGAGGTAAAGTTGGTTTATTCCCTTACTCCTGTGGTGCAGCTGTTAGAGTTTTAACACAAGGCAGGGGACCGGTCCCCACCCTTGGAGACCCCTGGATTAAAACTCATCTTTTTAACCCTGTGCTGTGTACACCTCTTGTGGGTCCCTTCTCCTCTTGATCTTAACCTGATGTTACCTCATTATCTCTACAATTCCTTGATACTTTACAGAAGACAGACAAAAAAAATACTTTTTCTGGCTTTAAAGTTGCCTTTAGTAGGAGAAGTAACTTGTTTGCCCTTCCTGGGAGTGGAGTTTTCCCCCTGTTACTCTTCCAGAGCACAGACTGTGAGATGCAGGTACACCTCCCCTCTTGCTTAGAAAGGATACAAAGGGACAAGTTTATTTCTCATCCATCTGTGGAGAAGTACATGCGGAAAAGAGTTAAGAATCTGAATCAAGTGTGTGGTGAGTGAGGCATTTGTAAAGTTACTCATCTTCCCATCCTGCAAACAGTCACGGAATCTGCTTTTCATCAAGAAGTGCAGCCACCTGTCTTGCTTTAAGAACAATGGTCTTAGTCCATCAGTCCCATCAGATTCCGGGAGAAGAAAAAGTTGCAATAAGTTCATCTGAAGGATCTCCAAGAATTTACTAAACACTTTTAAAACAGCAAACATTGAGGATCAAAGGAGGTTTAAAAATTATTGGGATCAGAGCCAGGAGGATGTGCTCAGGCTAGAAGCCTCCTTTTTCTCCCCTCCCCTCTCCTTTCCTCCCAGGAATTTTCTCCCTCCTTCCCTCCCTTCCTCCCTCCTTTACATTCCTTCTTTCTTTTGTGGTTCACTTCCATGAAATCAACTCATTTTCATTTTTTAAAATTTATATGTTTAAATTCCAGCTGTTCGTCCAGGTAACCTTAGCTGCTGCAGTTAATACAACACAACTTGAAAATTCTGTAACACATGGTGTTAAATAAAATGTAGAGCTGGCTATTGATTTGGATTGAGCTCCTGCACTAGGATCCAACAGACCAAACCAAAACATAGTCACTCAAGCTTCAGGTCCAAGCTGAAATGAAGTTGTTAATCTGACCTGAGAAATCAGGAAAGAGGGAGATAATAGTCAAATTCCCAAACAATCCAGTTTTAGTAAAGCATAATAAGAATGTTCCTTCTGCTTTAACCTTTACAAGGAAAGTAACTTCGAAATTATCAACCTTTTTGTATACTTTATTTTTTGCTTTCTTTGGCTTTTTCTGTCACTTCATATTGGGCCCGTGTTGCAGAGCGCAATTCTCTGAATTTCTTCTGATTCTGAGGGCTACCCAATTCACCACTCCTTCGCTCAAATAAAGTCTTACATTTATTTTATCTCAAGTGTTTCTTTTACCAAAGAAGTGAATTTTAGAACAGCAAAGTAAGTACTTTCTGGATCAGTCTTTCCCTCTGCTTCCAAACCAAAATTTTCAATAAAGGTAGGTCTTTCTAACCCACCTTCACCAAAATCTCCTGCTGCTTGGAGTTTTCTTTCTATACCATTTATAACTTTAAAAAACGAGTCCACATTTATTTTGGAAGTACATTTAATTTACAAATGAGAATTCACTGGAAGATGACAGCTGACAATATCTCTCAAACATCTCTCAAATCCACCCAGTTCTGGATGTGCACACCACCCCCACTTTAATCCAAAACACTGCCACCTCTTGTCAAGCTGACAGCAATAGCCTCTGGGTTCCTTGGACACCCTCAATCCTTTTTCTTCTTTTTCTTTTCTATATTGTGATTAGAAAGATCTTTTCCAATGCCATCATCTTTTGGGGGGATGTGTGGGGGGTGGTAGTGGGGAGAGAGGCACAGTGCAGCTTCTCCATACCACTGAATTTGTTTGCATTTGGCCTCAGAGCAATTACCTATGTGCTGCCTGTCTCCCCAGGAGACTGAAAGTTCCCTGAATAAGGGATGCTTCTCTGCTTTTGCTTGTCAGACACATGGGTGTTGACTCTATTTTTGAATAGTATACAAAGTAGATTAACTTTGTAATTTGCTTATGTTACACTGATTATTTCTCTCCTGGTCCCTTAAAGGCAGGGATTTGGTCTACTCTGTTCACTGATGTACCCCCCTAAGTGCCTAAAAGAATGGCTCCTGTTTAGAAAGCCCCTGTATGAACTTTTGTTGGAAAAATGAATAAACCAGAGAGGTGAGGGCAAAGAGTCTAACTTCTTTCCAGTCCAGGATCACGCTTTGGCATTGTTTCAAGCTCTTACGAAGTGTTGCCCTGAGAATTTCTAGATAGAAAATGTCTCCAGGAAATTGGAATTTGTAACTAGAGTACTCTAAACAATGCCCGCCAGAAGCTTAGTCATTTTATAAAGAATTGGGAGAGAAGGCAGTGTTTGGCCACAGGCCAATATTTTGAGGTCAGCTACTTTATCTGTGGAATTCTTCACCCTCTGTGCATCCCTTGGCCATCCTGTTAAATTGGAAAATAAATCCCATCCCTGGGTAAGGTGTTGGCTGATAAAGGCTTGAGCTATTGCCCCTTCAAGGGGAATTTGCATTTTAATAGAGGCTGGTCAATCCCCAAAGGAATCAATATCTCTTAACAGTGAAATTTCAAGCACCAGCAATTGAGATATTTTGGGGCCAGACACTTCAGTGTTTCTGATCCAACAGGGGACTTCATAAGTACTGGTAGAAGGCTATGGAAAAAGGTTTCTGGAAATGACCTGCCATTTCCTTTTATTATTTTCAATTTTACGTTTTTGTACCTGATTCATTCAGACATCCTAACAGGCACCAGTCTCTTAATATGTCAATCCAGTCCTTTTAAACCCAAGGAATCTTATTAAAGTTGTTTCATCAATAGGGCCACAAAGGAATTAATATAACCGAAATTTCCAAGTTTGCTAGGAATTCCAAGGAAGCCAACACTTAATTATTTAAAACTATGTTGGCAAGAGATTGTAGAGATAGTTTAATAAGTTGTTAATGATGTTATTCATTTAAATTCGTTTTGTGGAAAAAAATTTCAAAGTTAAAATGTTTGACTTGTATTAAAAGACCTGAAAACGAAAGATAGATGCAAAAACCCCAGTATGACCCGGGAATGTTTTAAACGCCCACTCCTCCGATGCTAAGTTCTCAGCGGATGGCTTGGAAAATTCTGGGACTGCGGAAAACACGGCACCTTGGTTCTTAGATTTCTGCTTTCCAGAAAGGTTCCTGCCCCTCACACCTGAGGACAGAGTAGGAAATTCACCTCTGGGCTCCCCGTCGGGCGGGGTGGTCTCTCCACTCTCAGCGCTGCCACCGCCCGAACCATCCTTGGCCGGCCGCAGGCTTGGCCGCTCAGGTGGCGGACCCGACTCCCACTACCCTGCCGCACCACTGGCCAAGGGCTCCGCAGCGGAGATTGTTGCCCTTGCCCTTGTCGCGCTGCGGTTCCCACTCTTTCCCTTCGGGTCCGCTGCCAACCACCGGCGAGAGGCGTGAGCGCCGGGGACCAGTCAGGGGACCACACCTGCGCCCTCGCCCAGCCTCCCCGTGTAGGTCCCGGCTCCCGTTCCAGCCCGGGCCCAGC